AGCATCGCCTACGACGAGTGACGAGTGTGACCCAAAACCAATTTGGGTTCATGTCTGGAAGGTCGACCATGGAGGCGATTTTCCTAATGCATCAGTTGACGGAGAGATATAGGGACCAAAAGAAGGACTTGCACATGGTCTTTATCGACCTAGAGAAGGGTTATGATAGAGTATCGAGAAATGTCATGTGGTGGGCCTTAGAAAAGCACAAAGTCCCATCTAAGTACATTACCCTCATCAAGGATATGTACAAGGATGCGATGACGTGTGTCCGAACATGTGGGGGCGACACCAGCGACTTCCCAATTAAAATAGGACTACACCAGGGGTCAGCATTGAGCCCTTATCTATTTGCCTTGGTGATGGATGAGGTCACAAGGGACATACAAGGTGATATCCTTTGGTGTATGCTCTTTGCTGATGATGTGGTGCTAGTTGACGAGAGTAGAGCAGCGGTAAATAGGAAGTTGGTGTTAGTGTTATATACTGAAAGCTTGGCTTTGCATGTTATTACACATTTACCCTTTATGAATGAGAATCATGTTAGATTAAACAAGTTCTACGTTCTGTTGTTCTGCACTTAGATAGTGTGGGTCGTCATCGGGCGAACCGAAAATCACTCTATCAGTTACTTGCGAACAAGAATAGTTGTTCACAACCTAGATGGACATGCACACCCCATCCGAACGGTTGTAGTGTCAACAGTACAATTTGTCTTGACTAATTAGTTGCACTAGTACATTTATGTATTGAACAGGATCCCAGAGAGGAGAAGTTCATTTTATACTGATCGTCGTAAATGAACTAGGCCTCGGTTAATTACTGTGTTCTCTTAACCCGTAAGATATTAACAGGCAGATATATATAATATATATTACTTTGATTCACATGGGTGAGATTCAGTTCGCTGGAATAATATTCCTACTGTTTTGGGTAATATTATTATATATAGTATGTGCTGTTAGGATATTTATGGTCACCATGTGCGTTAGTTTGATGATGTCCCCGGAGTGAGTTCATGAAGGATTGTTATGCTAAACCCTGCAGGTAGATTAAATTCCGGCATAATAAGAATGTGATGAACGAGCGCTAGCTTCGGTGAAATAATAATAAATTAATTAATTCTTGATTGTCAGTAATTCGTAATGGACATTATATCTTAAACGTGGGGAGGTAAATCGAGTAATTATTATTGGAGTCTCAAATGTAATTTGGGCTAGGGAAAGGGAGTGCAATAATATAATGTTGGTGGCCCATTAATATTATTTAATTAATTAGAGGAGTAGGTTTGGCCCACAGTTAGTCTAATTAATTAAGGAACCCTTTTCCTAATCTCCTTAGGGTCCCTACTGTAGCTCTATATATACATCATTAAGCTCATGAGAAGAGAACAGAAGTCTCATTCACACGATATACACGCCTCACACGCCTCTCTCTCTCTAGATCTCATTCGAGCTTTATCTTCTTCATGTTGCTCCACTGGTACAAGTTGAAGAAGGGTGTATTGAGGAATACAGTAGAAGATCTGTAGGTAAACCGAGACGAAATATATTTTGACCTACAGAACTAACTGGAAGTCCGATTGAGACGTACAGTATACCCAGACGACCGTCTCGACGAGAGCTTTCCATCGCCGTCGACGTCGCCGGATTCCGACACCGCACGCGCCGTCGGAAGGAGCCTGACTGCAAAAATTCGTTTTGATCTGTTTGCATCCGTTTGATCCGATTTTGATCTGATCTTGTTCGTGCAACCCAAGACGTGATTTGCGGTCAATCAATTGCGGTCAACCGTTCGTGGTCAGCCAGATCTACATAAATTTTAAGCCTTAAGTTCTCTACGTCAAACCTTTAGATCCGCTGCGCATAGGTTTACGTTTGCTATTGAATTCGTGATTTGTACATAACGAGATCCTCACAGATCCCAACAGTTGGAGCTGTGGAAGGACGCGTTAGAGTCGAAAGGCTTCAGACTTAGTAGGACGAAGACCGAGTACATGACGTGCGCTTTCAGCATGGCTTCACATGATGATGGTGACATTACCCTTGACGGGCAAGTGGTGGCCAAGAAGGAGACTTTCCGGTATTTGGGATCGATGCTACAAAAGGATGGCGGCATTGATGCTGATGTTAGGCATAGAATTGCAGTCGGTTGGTTGAAATGGCGTCAGGCGTCGGGCGTTCTCTGTGATAAGAGGGTGCCACAAAGGCTAAAAGGTAAGTTCTATAGGACGGCGATTCGCCCGGCGATGCTATACGCTGCTGAATGTTGGCCTACAAAAAGGCAACATGTCCAACAACTAAGTGTAGCAGAGATGCGTATGTTGCGTTGGTTCTGTGGGCACACAAGAAGGGATAGAATCCGAAATGAGGATATTCGAGATAGGGTCGGGGTGGCCCCAATTGAGGAGAAATTGGTTCAACATCGGCTGAGGTGGTTCGAACATGTCCAACGGAGGCCTCCTGATGCACCGGTGCGTAGAGGAGTTCTACAGCGGGTCGAGGATGTTAAGAGAGGTAGAAGTCGGCCTAAACTCTCCTGGGGAAGAGTCGGTTAAGAGAGACCTTAAAGATTGGAATATCTCCAAGGATTTAGCGGTGGATAGGAGCGCTTGGAGGCTCGCTATCAACGTGCCAGAACCGTGACTTTTGCTCCTTTCTCTCTCTCTCTCTCTCTCTCTCTCTTTTTTCGATCTCTTCCTTATCTCTTCCTTTTGGTTCGAGTCTTTGTGTTTCTCTTGGATTTTATCTCTAGCCTACCCCGACTTGCTTGGGACTAAAGGCTATGTTGTTGTTGTTGTTGTTGTAATAATGTTCATTTATGGAGTAAGGCATGACAAATTAGATAATGTTCATTTATCAAGTTTTTTGAAATTACACATTACCCCTATGACCTAAATTACAATTTAATCAAACTTTCAACCTCGCCAATAGATCCATGTAATTTATCTAATTTTCATACTGAAGCCCCCCAAATTCAGATCCCTTAAATTGCCTTCTGCGACTGAAAAAGGAACCCGACCCCAATTGACTTTTTTCCGGCAACTGAAACCGGCCATGACTCACCGTTTATCCTACTATCGTCTCGTGGCGATGTCGGCATCGGTCCGGCCGAGCAGGGCGATTGCCCCTGACCAGCGGAGATGGTGGGGCCGATTCGGTCTGAATCCGGCGACCAGCGGTGTTACGACGAGAACATGAATCCTCCGCCTCCTTAGATGCAGTGTGTGTGTACGCGATGAGAATGAGAGAAAAAACAAGATTGACCGGCGACGGCGAGATGTTTTGCTGTGAGCGGCGCAGGGGCGTCCTTGGGCCCGTGCGGGCTGTGCGACCGCACAGGGCCCCCAAAATATAAGCTTCACCTTCGAGATCAGATTGGAAAAGAAATCGGCTTTGGGGAAGTTGCAGAAGAAATGCAGAAAAGGAAAAATGGAATTGGTGTGGAGAAGAAAAGACAAATTGAAGAATTGGGGCATTTGGTCAAGGCACGTGGTCAAGGCACTAAGAGCACCTACAATGCTTTGAGTCTCTTAACAAAAATTCACTTGCCACATGGGAAATAGATTTAGTCTATAAAAAAATACTTCCCAATGCAATTAAAAGTGGACATGGTCTAGCTTATGTGGCAATGAAAAAAAGAGACAAAGTCCACACTGGGGTCTATTTTGGACCCAAGTACAAACCCAAACACTCATCATTTGTTCTTAATTTAATTTTTTTTTATGAATAAAATATATTCGAGCATTTCTATTGGTTGACATGTATGCTAGACCTAGTCTTTTTATTTTTGCATTGCAAAGTTTTTGAGTTTTTTTACTTGGGTTTGTCCATGTCATTTAAAACTCAAGTCCAATTATATGGGACATATACAAAAAGAGACCCAAAGCATTGTGGATGCTCTAATTGAAGTCACACATATCAACATTTATTATTTTGAGTTTATTATTATTTGTATTGGCAAATTATGTGGGTCTAAATAGTATCATTGAAGACTTTATTTCAAAGAATGCCCAAAGAATAAGTTTTTTCAAATGAACAGTAGATACGATAATTCTTGAAATATCCCATTTATATATTATTTGTTATTATTGTTTAATTTTAATAGGCCATTATGGCCGCATCTTGAAATTTCGCACTGGGCCCCCGATTTGACCGGGGACGCCCCTGGAGCGGCGTTTGGTGGCGCGTCGGCATGAGGTCTGGGCGGCGTTTGGTGGCGCGCCGGCTTGAGTTCTAGGTGACGGAGTTGGAAAGTCGCCGCTGAGTGTGTGCGTGTATGGTCGGCGACGAAAAGAATCCGACGAGAGAGGATTGTTTGTATTTTTTTGTGTATGTATTGTTGTGCGCGTATGTGTGTGTGAGAGAGAGAGAGAGAGTATGGGGTGGGAGTTGGAATGGGTCCCACTTCTTTGGTGTGGTGTAGAAATTACCATAATATCCTTAATAAATATATAATTTTGACTTTTTTTAGTCATTAAATTATTTGATCTAATGACTACGATTTATTTTTATTTCTTTCACTAAGTACCATTCTTGCTGTAGCGTGACCCAATGTATATATATATAAACTCTCTCAGTTATGATATTTTCAATATAATTTTTGATTTGAGCCCGCTCCCAATGCTGTTTTGTAAATTGATATAGATCAATTTCAAGGTGATTTGAATGAAACTCTCATGGATTGATAATTCAACCGCGTACCACCCTTAATGGCCCAACAAAAATAACAACAAATATATATTTATTTATTTGTCAATGTCTGATTTCTTAAAAATTTTTAATTGGAACTTTATTCATGGTTTCACACCATACCATAGGATTGCTCTACGAATTCATCCATATGTACTAATTAATATTTAATACTATCCAATCAAAATGTCTTTCTTCTTCTTTTTTTATGTCAGAGGATAGAGATATAGCCATGAAAAATCTTAACTACTTTTAGCATTAAGAATTAACACAAAGATTTTTAGCGACATAATATTAGAATTGGACGTTTCAAGGATTTCGATTGCAGTAAAGTCGCCCCGTGTGCAGAGATGAATCATAGTGCTGAACCATAGAAAGAATCTGCCGAAGAAAAAGAAAAAAAAAAAAACAGAAAGTAGACCATGGAATTTAAGCACCGGAAAAAGGAAAAATGTGACAGTTCAAGGAGATGGTAATATGGACTTAGAACTTTAAAATTAGGTAATTGCTACCCAATGGTGTGTCATGCTTACGGCATGTCTAAGTTTATTTGGAAAATTAATGACAGTGTCATAAGGTTTTAGTTTGATATAAAAATGTAAACAAAATAAGATTAAGTACATGATATGTTGAAAAAATAGAGTGGGTTACCACTTGGATCAATTTTAATTAATAAGCCTAGCCATCAACATACATAAAAATTATTATTTTAATAAATTTTCTTTAAATATTTGTTTACACATCTTTTTAAACTTAATTCAAAAATATGGTATCAAAAATGAATATAATCTATTTTTTTCTTTGATTTTTCCACACTGTTCAAGGCTTAAGTCTTAAGGGGTTCAAGCCGAGCTGAGACGAGACGACCAAAGATTTTTCCACATCTTTGATTTACAACTGTTAATACCGAGCTGAGACGACCAATCAAACTACAGACATATGTTCTTCCATGAAAAGATAAGCACAAACCAAAGCAACGCGTATTAAAGTCTATAATGTAGATGATCACGATCGAAATTCGAGAAGAAGAATAAAAATATGTAACGGAATTCTGTTATTCATTCATCTCAATGTGCCCTGATTGTTCTTAGCTCATGTATATATACAAGTGATGCATGCAAAGCAACAAAACGATGCCGTTTTGTTTAATAAAAGCCTTTACTTGCTAATAAAAGCGTAAAAGGAGAAAACATGAAGAAACTAAGCACGCCGAACTTGTTGTGCATAAAGTTCCTTATTTTGTGTTCTTCTTATGTTTTGGGCATGGAAAAATGTTATCATTCCCAACTTGGACACGAGATCGTGAAAATGAGGTCCTAGAAGGATCATGGTGAAGAGATCAGTTAGCTGAAGTTTGGTAGGAACATATGTAGGCAAGATGAAACCTTCTTTGAATTTGTCGCGCACCAAATGACTATCAATTTTCAAATGCTTGTGGCGTTCATGAAACAAGGGGTTAGACGTAATATGTAGAGCCACATTGTTGTCCCAAAATAAAGGGATAGGAAAATCCAGCTGAAGATTAAAAACTTGTGCAATAATTAAAGGAGAGTCGTTCAGACACAATTGATTCAAGTGCTTTGTATTCAGCTTCAGCCAATGAATTGGAAGCCGTTTGAGGTAATAGATCCTCCCAAAATACACAATAGCCAGTGACTGATCGCCTAGTGTCCTTACAAGCCGCCTAACCAACATCACTATAGGCTACCCGACATCTTTTACATAGGCCTCCATACCGTTGGTATTTTTATTTCAATCGTTGGAATCGTTAAAATCTAATGAAAATTTCAATAAAAAAACTCATTCCAATGGAGTGTTTTTGTTGGAATTTTCGTTGGAATCCGTTGAAAAATATTAACAGAAATAATAACATTAGAATGTCCATGAGAATTGACGTTGGAATCCATTGAAATATATTTTCGTTGAAATTTTTTCGTTAAAATTTCATAATTTTCTTGTAGAATGGTCACGATAACTAAAACTATTGACAAATGATGTATGATAATGTCTTTTCATAAGTTATATTTGAGAACAAATACATTTTCATTCAATAAGTATATTAATTTGACATGACAATGTAATTTTAGCAAACAAAAAAAAAATCAAATTTCAACAAAAGATTAAGAAATAAAAATTTCAATGGAAAGTCCAACAAATATTTAAATACTATAATAAATTTTGCTAGAAAAATCTACGTATATGTCTACGACGATCAACAATATTTTTTTGTTAAAATAAATTTTTGTTTGAGTTATATTTGGAATTTTATGATTCCATTAATGTTTTTCTTAAGAATTTAGTGTTCTATGAATTTATGTTGGAATATATATTTTTTATCTGAATTTCTTTTTCAGTCAATAGTTCTAAGAGTTTGAGAAAATTTTATTGGGATTGTCAATTTCCAACAAAAATAGTAGTAGGTTTCCAACATAAATAGTCTCATATTTTAATAAAAAAAAGAAATAAAAATAATTACGCGGATCACCAAAAGTATCTCTAGTCGCATATAGGAATTTTTCAAAGATATTTAGAAAAAAATAGCGATTAATAATTCGCCTTGTGGTCGAATGTTTTTTGCATAACAATAATTACTGATTTTTTTTAGAGTCTGCGATTACGCGGCGACGGACTTGCGACTGACCGAATTGTTCACCAAATCTATGCATATCCATCGTGACACTGTCGCATAAAGACTTTGCATTTTTTCGAGGATTCGGAATTCGAACAACCCTTTTAGCAGTTACACTGATATAAACGTGCCTTCGGTTTTTGTGAATTAATAATTTTGAGGGAATTTAAAATGTTATGATATCATTATAAATACTTAAATAATGTACAAAATATTTCATCCACATCATGATTCAAAGATAATAACTATAACAAAATGTATTTTATAAGATTGACTACATATGCATCCCGAAACGGTACCATGTCATTTCATTTTAATAGTTGATTTTTCATGTTATAATCTTAGTTAGAATTTGGATAAAAAAATATTAGCCGCTATCAAAGAGAATAAATTATTACATCAAATAAATTTTAAATGATAGGTTTTGCCTCCGAGCACAAATGCCTATTTTGACTGAAGATCATGACGGAGTGTGAAAACCACAACAGTACGGGGTCTATCTTGGAGAGTTATCGCTGCTGTCAGCCTAGACAACGTTATTTTTTAGAGGGGATTATGTGGAAGAAGAGGACACCATTGTCTTCAAACGTGTTGAGCATTGACATGTTTGAAATTATTTTTTTTCATAAGGACATAAGTGAAAAATCCATTTATGCTATAGGAGATCGACAAACTTATGTTGGTCCATAGGATTTCATGACCTAATTTTTTTTTATTCCAATAACTTTTATGCAATATTAATTATTATAAATTAAAAAAAAAGTTATTTTTATTCCAGTCTTTTTATTTATGGCAATGGAGTCTTCAATTAGTTTATTCATAGAATAAGAATTTTCCAAAAATGAAAGTTTAAAAATATAATTATGCGAATATGAATTTTCTGCACCAACTCGGCAAATAATATATGACTTTTGTATATCATCGTTTTGTTGCAGAATAGGAAATTTCCAAAAATAAAATTAAAATAAAATATTTTACGACTGTTATGCGGTTATTATGCGATTATAATTCGCCTAGTAGTTGCAAGTTCATTTGCATAGTAAGAATATTTTTTTAAAATAAACTGGATCTCGGACTATCCAGCGTCAGACCATGATTGGCCAAACTATTCACCAAGTTTGTGCATATTCGTCGCCTAACTGTCGCATAAATGATTGCATAATATGTTCGCACTTCTTGGGTGAAAAACTGAATTGGTTTGTGAGTGGCGTAAAACTTAATATGTTGTAGGTGAAAAAGACTGTTTTCACTGTGAAAATATCCGTTGAACGACCATGCAATATAGTATTCTTAATTTTAATATTTATAACCATTAATTTTGCTCAGAGAGGCTCGATTTAAAATGTTATAACTGACAAACGGGGGTTGACGGTTGCGATCCCACGGACGAAGCGAACCAAATCAGAGAAGCCCAAATGAAGCCCAAGTGAGGTTCCATCCCAAAACCAATTGGCGACGGTGTCAGGTTGTGGCTTGGCTCGTGTGTGAGGTGCAGCTCGGGGAGCGGACCGAGGAACCGGGACCGCCGTCCTTTAACCACCACCGAGCCGCGACTTAGCCGATGGTGCCGAGAATCAGGGCGATCTGAGCCGGGAGACTTTGTGTCTTCATTATCCGGCCAAAGAAAAGGAGATCCGTTCTTCCTCTCATTTTAATTTTTTAGCATCTTCTCTTAGTGTAGTTTTTCCCCTTCTTTTTGCTGCTAATCACCCTTGTATCTTGTGTTTTGATTTGCATCTAAAACCGGGCGATTAATGGATAGCTTGATAACTGTGATATCATGTTTCCTATCACTAAATGACTGCAAATCAATAGAGATAGCTGGATAATTCAGATCCGACGCCCTAGTTTCATTGCAACTGTATTTGCATCGTGTCATCTGTAATGAGATCACATATCGTGTTTCGGATGACGAGGCCAGAGATCGTAAATTGTGAGGCAATGAGGTCTTGAACATGTTCGAGCCTTAATCAGATTCATTCAATAAAGGCCCAGCAAAGGTACTGTTAAGATCCAAAATAGCATGAAACCATCAGAGTTTTCGTAGAGGTCCAATTCTGGCCACCCTTCAAACACTGTTGGTTTCATGCTTGTAGAAACATAAAAATTGTGTCCAATCAAATGGCGCCACGTGGAAATTAATTTATTAAAAATCAAGTCATATTTTCTATTTATATTTTAGGAATTCCCATATATTTAATTCTTAAATTTAAATAGTTAATTAATTAATATTTTAATATTTTAATTCATGACCAATCAAATAATGCCAAGTGTCAAATCTTATTTCTTGGTAAATAAATCATATCTTCTAGAATATCTTGGAAGATTTAAATAGATCTAGAAGATCTTATGTGAATCATCATGGACCAATCAAATCGCGTCCTACGATTCTTAAATTTGGTAGGGTTCTCTCTCCTACACCGATAAATAGAGGCTCTCCCTAATGTCAAAAAAGACACCTCATAATTCATATTCAAATCCAAGAGCTCTAGAGAATTCTCTCGACGAGATTCAAGTGTTCTTGAAGATTCAAAGGCGTTCTTGAAGATTCGAAGCAAGATTCAAGCGCATTCAACCTCAAGACTGACGTTCAATCCGGAAACAAACTGCAAAGCCACCGAATAACGTTAGTAAATTCAAAACCGGCGTAGAGAAGATTCAAGATCTACTTTGCGACAAAGACCAAGGATTCGTGTTCTTCGCGTTCTTGGGATATTTCGACGTTTGATCCGAAATCAAGGCGTTGGCCCTCGAATTAACGTTAATTCAAGTCAAATCAAGTCAAGGAGAAGATTAAGCCGAAGATTTCGCTCCAAGACTTAAAATTGTTCGTGAGAAGAATCATAGGAGATAAATAGAGATTGTAACCCGCTATATTATTTTGATTCGAGAAATTCATTTTAATAATTTTTTCGTGTTTATAAATTCAATACACGAAATTTGTTGTTACAAATTTTTGGCACGCCCGGTGGGACATCTCTACCTCTCATCTCTTCTTCAAAAATCCTCAAATCATCATGACTAGCCGCAAGGTCGTCATAGTCAATATTTCTTCAACAAGTTCTTCAAGCTCCAACCTCGACTTCGTTACAAGAAGCATGGCCAAGCAACTGCAAGCATCTTCGGAGACGACTCCTTTGCACGAGGTGATTGGAAGAGATAAGCTGCATCTTACTCACGAAGGTGATGAAGACGACTCCGTTTCATCAACTCCTCTCTCATCATCAAGCTCTTCATCAAATTCAAGCTCAAGTGTTGCTCCAGTTATGACAACTAATGCTTCAACTCTTGAAGAACACATCGGAAGCTTGACAAAGGTGATTGAAGGGTTCGCGAAGAAGGTCTAAGAGCAAGACTCTCAAATTTCAAAGCTAATGGACAAGGTTGACAATGCTGAAACAAGCCGCATGAAGGACAAACAAGATGAAGATCGTGATGAGTCTGAAACATCTAAACAACAACAATATGACGAAAGAGAGAAGACTCCAACATTCCAACATTCGTCTTCGGGAATGGTCCCCATTGATCAACTGAAGGATTTCATAATGGAGACAATTAAAGATAAGCTTGATGGTGATTCCAAGTCAACTCACACCTACGCCAAGCCATATACGCCAAGGATCGATAACTTGAGAATGCCTGTTGGATATCAACCACTCAAGTTCCAACAATTTGATGGCAAAGGCAACCCGAAGCAACATATAGCTCACTTTATTGAGACATGCAATGATGCGGGAACCTATGGCGATCATCTCATGAAGCAGTTTGTCCGTTCACTCAAAGGGGTTGCATTCGACTGGTACACTGATTTGGAAGCAAACTCCATCGATAGTTGGAAGCAAATGGAACACGAATTTCTTAGTCGCTTCTACAGCACAAGACGTACCGTCAGCATGATCGAGCTCACTACATCTCGACAATGGAAGGAAGAGCCAGTCATCGACTACATCAATTGGTGGAGGAACTTAAGTTTGAACTGCAAGGATCGTCTGTCTGAGGCTTCTGCCATTGAGATGTGCATTCAAGGTATGAGTTGGGGTCTTCGTTATATCCTTCAAGGTATTCGACCGAGAACATTCGAAGAGCTAGCGACTCGAGCCCATGACATGGAACTAAGTATGGCCGCAAACGGAGCTAACGGGCCACCGATCCAAGAACCCCAAGGTTCCAAAGATAGATACGAGCAAAGGAAAGGGGGCAAGTTTTCCTCGAAATCTCAAAATAAAGAGTCAATGACGATCAATGCTCTGCCTGTAAAGTTCAAAGGAAAAGCTGTTGATAAATCCGTCGAAAAGAAGGATGTCCCCAAGGAAACTGAACAAAGAAGATTAACTCTGAATGAAATGCAAGCAAAGCAGTACCCGTTCCTTGATTCAGACGTCTCTGGCATATTTGACGATTTGATCGAAGCGAAACTCATTGAGTTGCCTGAGATGAAGCGTCCTGAAGAAGCTGGCAGGGTGAACGACCCAAAATATTGCAAATACCATCGTCTTGTAGGGCATCCAATTCATGACTGCTTCGTATTCAAGGACAAGGTTATGCAGCTAACACGCCAAGAAAAAATCTCATTAGAAGATAGTAGCGCAACTGCTAATCATATAAGCGAAGCATGCAACATGACAAATGAACACGAAGCTCCTCTAGAAGAAAACAATCTGCCTGAGGTTGAAGATCACCATGTTGGTCGTGATTCCATGATGGTCTTTACTGATGAAGATCTGCTGCTTGGTTCTAAGCCTCACAATAGACCCTTGTTCGTGGCCGGCTATGTGCAAGAGCAAAAGGTTAATCGAATATTGATTGATGGAGGATCAACAGTAAATATTTTGCCTCTCCATACACTGAAAGAGTTAGGAATGACTACCGAAGAACTTGGTAATAGTCGATTGATGATTCAAGGCTTTAACCAAGGGGGGCAAAGAGCTCTTGACATCATAAGGTTGAGGTTGCTGATGGAAGATATGGAGTCAACTGCAATGTTCCATGTTATTGACGCTAAGACTGTCGTCCATGGCTTCATGAGAATGGTGTGGTTCCGTCAACATGGCATCAATGCTTCAAGTATTGTAAAAATGACGTTGTGAAGACCGTGCTTGGTGATGATAAACCTTTTACGGAGGCTGAAACTCACTTCGCCGATGCCAAATACTATTTCAAAGATGCAAAATCAGTTGAGGAAGTTCCGTCTAAACAGCAAAAAGAATCCGAAGGTGAAGAACCAAAGATTGAAAAAGTAGACAACTCTTCGAAAGAGTTACTGCTGCCACTGCCGAAGATAAATGATGAGAAATCAATTTCCCAACCACCCATGAAGTTTGTTCGTCCAAGCAAAGGAGCGGTGACGGAGCATGGCGAAGGACTGAAGAACTCGAAGTGTTTGATCCAAAAGCCTAAAAACTTCTCGTCAAAGCAGGATACAACCCCAATGAAAGTCACTATTTGGAAAATCTCATACCTCAAGAGCAAAAGCACAATCGGGCAGATGTTGGATATGTGGCACCGAATCCAATTAGAATCGCCATCAAGAGAGCAAACGCCAACCATGTCTTGGAAGGAGAGTTCCCGTCCAACGACAGAGAAAAGAAAGGGAAAAGAGTGTCGGTGTTTCAAAGACTCGGTCCAGTTCAGAAGTTTAGGGGCAAATAATCTGTGTTTAAGCGACTTGGATCATCTAAACCGTCAAAGCCTTTAAGAAAAGAAAGAGGCACGTGCCCGCTCCAAAGCTTAGAAGTCGAATTCCATCACGCATGAAACGTCAAACCACCTTAATCATATCATGTGGGAAGTTTTTGAACACACGATCGTTCATACAAAAGTGCAGGACGATGAAGATGATGATAGAGAAAGTGTCGCTTCGTCTTACTATGCTTGATACTCTTATGACTCATCGAGATGATGAACGTTCTATCTACCGAAAGGTAGCTTATTTGGCGAGAAAAGGGTATATCGCTAGAATTGATGAAAATGTGCAGACACTACTTGTCACGAGAAGAAACGGACGGGCAAGAGCATGTATTGACTTCATAACTCTCAGTGAGCCGAGCGAAGATATTGCTCATGTGAACCATATCACTATATGCGAGGATACTCCAATAGAAGAAGAAGATGCTGAAGACGCACCTCCCGAACTTGAAGAAGGGTTTAAGGCCACAGTCGATGAACTAAAAGAAATCAACTTGGGTGAAGCTGATGATCCTCGCCCAACATATATTAGCGCTTTGCTAACTATAGATGAAGAGAAGGCTTACATCGAGCTCCTTAGTGAGTTTAAAAATGTGTTTGCATAGTCGTATAAAGAGATGCCCGGACTAGACCCGAAGGTGGCAGTGCATAATTTGTCCGTGAGAAAGGGGGCAAAAACTATTAAACAAGCACAGCGGAGATTTCATCCCGAGTTGATCCCGTTGATTAAACTCATTGAAGTTGGTTTCATTCGAGAAGTCAAGTATCCTACGTGGATCTCGAGCATTGTTCCTGTTAGGAAGAAAAATGGTCAAATTGGAGTTTGCGTGGATTTTCGAGATCTCAACGAGGCGTGTCCTAAGGACGACTTCCCGTTGCCTATAACTGAACTCATGATCGATGCTACGACGGGACATGATGCATTTTCTTTTATGGATGGTCGTTCATCTTTTGGTGTTCAACCCCAATGGCGGGTCACCCGGTTTTCGACTTCAGTGGTCGATCAGCTTTTAGTGTTCGACCCCAGTGGCGGGTCACTCGGTTTTCGACCTCAGTGGTCGTTCAACTTTTGGTGTTCGACCCCAGTGGCGGGTCTCTCGATTTTCGACCTCAGTGGTCATTCAACTTTCGGTGTTCAACCCCAGTGGCGGGTCACCCGGTTTTCGACCTCAGTGGTCGATCAGCTTTTGGTGTTCGACCCCAGTGGTGGGTCACTCGGTTTTCGACCTCAGTGGTCGTTCAAATTTTGGTGTTCGACCCCAGTGGCGGGTCTCTCGATT